TCTCTTTGTCATCTCTACTATATATACTCATTCTAGACAACATACATATCAGTCCATTTAGTAATTTCGCATTTCACTTTTAAACGTTTCGTTTCACTTCAAACAAAATTCAAATTATTCTCTCATAGTAAGTAGTACATCATCGTTGGTTCACCCTTTAAGTTAACTCACCAACTGATCAACGAATGATTCTCGCCTTAGGGGTAGAAAGTAGAGTATTAATACTGTTTTACGGCTAATCGTTTTTATATCCATATGATAACTGATGCAAATATATCTCATTCCATTGTTGATTTGAATAAGCAATGATAATAAGCATTTTTTGGTTTTAAAATTATTTTGCAATGCGTTTCACTCATAACTATGGCAGAGAAATAAACAAAGAGAAATATCACAAATAAATAAAGAGCTTTTCCATTGCTTATTCACATCGACTAGAATTTGTGCCTACCTGCGTCAGTTACGGCATTAAAACAGAGGAATGGTTCAAGTAAAAGCAACGAAGTTTCACTGATACCAAATACTGACTGCCTTTTATAGAGCGTTGGGGAATTTCGCTCACGATGATATAGTTTCAATGGATTAAAACCGTTCTCGCCGATATTTTGCGTAGGGCTAAAGTAGTAAGAAAGTTCAAAAGAATTCATATCAATCCTATCAATCCTACCCTATGAAAAGCAGAAAATTCGAATTCTCACGAAGGACATAGGCCCATGGTCTGCACGTTTTGCAGCTTACGGACTGAATTCAGCAGTATTATCACTGAGCTTGAGCTGTACAACATAGTTCAGTAAACATACCCCAAAGTCCAGTTTCACTAGGTCAAACATAACTCGAGAAGGAAGCCGCATGGGGACGAATTCTTTTGGGCTTTCGCTTGCTATCATAGTTATTGGCAAAATATCGACGAGAACGGTTTTAGTCACTTAGAACTGTTCCGTTGTCAGTTTGTTTAGCAAGTATCCATAATGTCTGAGATTTGATTTTATTGTACGATAGAATAGTCTCTCCCCGCCGCAATTATGAATAAAATATGTACAATATATGGGCATACCTGCTCGAAAGATATTCCTTCCTGGGAATTTAAACAAAATTTCTAGTCAAAATCTGCTTGTACATCTTTCATCGTTTTCTAGTAACATCTTCAATGCTGAAGTTATTCCAGGCACTGGTTTTACTTGTATTATTATTAATTTCATTATGCAGTTCCAAATCTAATGAGGAAATCAACAAGAAATTGTATACCAGAGTTTTAGAGTTTCTGGGCACTTTGGCACCTGGTAAATGTGCTGGCATACTTTTGAATAAAACAAATTCAGACTTATTTTCACCAAAATTAAGTGGCCGTATTCTTCCACCCGGCTCATTCGACACACCATCAGATGCTTTGGAATATTTATACGGTATTCTGTGTGCCATTCCGGGTATGGCTGAACGACCGTACACAGCAATCTCGAGTCAGTTGGCTCAGCTAACATATGACGCTGAAAAATATTTGGTCGGAGCAGAAATTGTGCTGCAATTAACTCACAATAAACAAGTGACATTTTTGGTCTTTATTGCCTTCGATAAAAACTATGCGCTATGTGGCTACGACGGACAAATACGAAATCCTGGTCTCACGTTCGATCAGCCAAAGAAAACAAATGCTGATACCATCGAAAAGCTTTGTGCTGGAATCCAAAAGATCTGTACCGGAAATAATACACAGTATAAGAACATGAAGCAGTGCATAACATTCATGACAAATGAGATACCATTTTCAACGTATGATCGACTCGATCAGAATAATGTTATTTGCCGAACACTTCATATTCAACTGGCGGTTGTGGCACCTACAGTTCACTGCCCACACGTTGGACCAACTGGAGGTGGAAAATGCGCCGATAAAACGTCTGAGTCATATTACCAAAATGCGACATATCTGTCGTGTGCAGCTCAACGATAAAATAAGATAAAACAGTTTTAAATCGTTTACAGATTTTTATTTTTTTATTTTTTATTTTTTAAATCTTTTCTCATCACTTTGGTTTTTTACTCGTGTAACAGATGGCAGAGGATTCAGTTTTCTCATTTTATGTTCAATTCCAATAATAGTTTCATATTTGCTTTAATCAAAATAAAAAGTAGGCATTGAAAGAACAATCTTCATTATGGACCACGCACGTTCTGGTTTTTTATTGGTCATATGTGTATGCTCTAGTCCTCTTGTATATCCCCTTTATATATCAGTAGCTCATACAATTTGTGTTCAAATCTTCTAAAAACAACTTGATACGCAAAATTCCCTTACTCGGCTTCAATGTAATACAATGTCGGAATTTGTGCAGCCTTATATCTGTCGTCAATAGCGCTTGTTGACACCTCTGATGGTGGTGTCAATAGCCATTCCGATCTTAGATGCACTTCAGATATGAGTGAACTTCGGTGAAATTCATTGGAAGAAATTTTAAAATTCATGCGGAAATATTAAAAGAACTTATTTAATAAAGCGATTTCTTCGGCCAAGAAGCCGTTACACAGGTATTCAATGATGTCACTAGTCTACATGAATATTTATCCAACGTAGCATAACGAATTTCAAAGTTTCATCCAATGAATTTCACCGAAGTTCACGAATATCTGAAGTGCATTCTTGTCATTATATGAGGTACACTTCCCGCACAGTCTACATACTATTTCGAGGTGTCAATAGCCCTACGTGAACTGAGTTATGCATTTCTCAATTTTGAATGAAAATAATACATAATGGTACAACAGTATGTTACTCGTTTCTTTCTTCTTTTCTTTCTCTGTCATTTTTTTGTTCTCGAAACAGACCTCGATTGGTCGTTTTCTGGCTTTATCACTTTTACCGTATCATCAACATTCTTTACTTGCACAGATATTTTCCTGATGATGAATTAGATAATTCGAAATGTAAAGCAATTTTTAATAAGACATAAACTAATTCTTGTGCTATATTATATATAATTATGAGTTTTCAAAACATCCTGGTTGTAATATAGGTAATCGTTATTTAAAGTACTTCAAACTAGTACCCGTCCCAAAACACATGATCATCGGTTACATTTTGAATAATTCAAAAGAAATAAAAGATTGAGATTTGCGGTTTTCATCATTCGCTAGCCAAGACCTGTGACCAGCTATGTTTACATAAGCAAAACGAGTTTAGAAAAAGTCTTAAAGAGCGGTTTTTCAGGACATCTGTAGCAAAATGGTTCGATTCTCTGAAAACTGCCTGAGAAATCTATGGAATTTTTATCATAGAAATATATTCCGACGTGTTCTCTACAAAACTTGGATATCCATCGTTCGAGAGCTACCGATGTTTTTCCTGAAGCCTTAGCATTCCTCTGTCGTTGGGTTTGGGACTGTCAGAAATGAATGAAAACATAGGTCATCGACTATGTTTGGAGCTTGTGGCAATGTTAGTTTTCAGAACAAAGTGCAAGGACCGAGTGAAAACCTGTACTAGACGAAATAATCCATTTTTTATTATTTTTATTCAAAATTGAAAAATGCATAACTCAGTCGAAGTTCATCCAGTCTATTTTATCTACCGCTCAATAAATGTTGAAAAACCAATAGAAAATATTTTGGTGTCTAGAAAGGTTTCGCAGAAACTTTCGGAACTAAGAGAATATTTGTACTACAGAATCAGGATGACCGGATAAAACAGAGTATTTTCTGACAATCTGAAGTAGACTGGATGAATTTCGACTGAATTATGACTTTTCTTTTATTGCGCGGCAGATCAAATAAACTACTTTAGTTTGGATGAATTTCCACTGAGTTACGAATTTTTTAATTTTAAATGAAAATAATAAAAAATGAAGTATTTCGTCCAGCATAGGTTTTCACTCGGTTCTTGTAGTTTGTTCTGAAAACTAGATCCCACGTCCGTAGCTCTCGAACGATGGATATCCAAGTTTTGTAGAGGACACGTCGGAATATATCTCTATGAAAAAGAGTCCATAGATTTCTGAGTCAGTTTTCAGATTATCGAACCATTTTTCAACAGATGCCCTGAAAAACGGCTCTTTAAAACTTGTTCTAAAAGTTAGTAACTAAGTTGTACAGCTCCGGCTTCAAGCGATATGGTCCGGTGCCGACGACTCTCCTAGAGTTTTAAGATACTCTATAACTGCATGATATATATATGAAGAATCTTCTTTTGAAAGCGTTACATCTCATAAAAGGAGGTCAAGATTGAGGCAGCATATGTTAATGTGTCATCAGCGTACACACTTATATTACTATCTGCCGCAACAGTGCCACTGTTTTTTTCACGCACGTCACCATCAATTGTAAACAGAAAGAGAAAAATTCGCAGCCAGGAAACAGTCATCGGCTCCAGCTCCGATCTCAACGTTTCTCGTTCAGCTCCAGCTCCGTTTATAAACGGAGACAGCTTCGGAGTTGATGCTGCCCAACTCCGTGACATAGTAGCTAACTAAATGATGACAGATGCAACACAACCGATGTCCGTTCCATTATCGCATAAAACTACTAATAATACAGCAATTCATGGTACTATCATTCATCGTGATGATACATCAGTTACAATTATGTATTCATTATTCCAAAGAGTAGTAAATAAATATTTACAAAAGATTTCCTTACAACACTTTCCATATTCTTTAAGTTATCAACAATGTTAATCATTTATTCTTAAAATTTCGAGAGTATCTTAGTTCGTGAAAAATTCGATGTTACATCAAATACAGGAAGTGGAATGTAAATAGTCAACTCAATTGAAGATGCTTTGTTAGTATTTTAACTGCCATAAAATTTGAAAAAAAAAAACTACCATAAAATCTGCAGCTTTTGTACTGTTCAATGTTAGTCATTCTATTAATCGTCCACAATGTATTCTAGTCCGTTAGAGAATTATCAACTAATTCAAAATAGGACATTTTTTCATTTTGTCCCAAGTTTTTGACTGTTAACGTTCACGAGTTAAGCAGAAAACTCGGTTTTGTGGAGTATCACATTACAACCCCCTTAAGTTTCATCTCATTGAGTTAAAAGTTTTACCAGCGCAGAGTTATTTTTTTAAGACCTTTTCTTGTCGAGTTATAAGAAAAATGCTGAAAACCGTGTCAAAAACCAAGGTTCTCAATTTTAGAATTTGCTAACCACAGGGTTAAAATAAAATTAAAAATTAAAAAAACGCTGCTCTGCATTAGTGTCTTGAATATCTCTGGCAAATATTTAACTCGATTGGATGAAATTTAAGGGGGGTCGTAATGTGACACCCCCCGCTAACAAAAAAGTAGTTTTCGAGTTAAACGCTTACATCTCCACAAAAACTCATCGGAAAATTATGGAAATTTTGAATATACAGAAAAGGAGAGAAAAGTTTATAAAACTAAAAAGTAGAGGTATTGTAGCCTTTGAAGGAAAAACTTCAGAAATGCATAAATTTGTTAAATAAGGTCATAGAATGCTGGGAGTGGTCTCATTTTGTAGTCCACACTTTTCTCTACATTGTTCAGCTCAAAATCTGAAGTCTTTTTAAAAAAGAGAGATGGAATACCGTTAAATTAAGATGAATGAAGAAATCTTGTTCTTTCTCAAATAAAATTTTACCATTAATAAACACAGATATCGTAGCACAAAATACATCCGACTATTTTGATTGCTTCCATATCAGAAATTTTCACTACTTTTACTTAATGGTACACATTTATTTATTTTTCAACTATATGAAAATGTTCGAGATATATTTATAGAAGTTATGAATCATTTTCACATCACTATGTTAACAGTGACAACAATTTTTGAAGTTAATAAGGGTCAAACCAGTTTTTAATACTGTTCTAATTGAGTTTCCAATTCATAATGGGTACTTAAAGGTAATAGATAAAGATTTAAATTATGGTAAATTATCAATGGGGGGTATTGATGTATCACAAACCGATTACATGTGTCCAGCAGATAATAAAAAATTTATTAAGATTAAGAACCAAAATTGGTATAAAAGTGGAGATATTGTTGAGGTAGCACGGTTAATATCTACAAAAAATAAACACCAACATATTATTTATCGTATTTAGATCGTATGGATAATCAACTGAAAATTAATGGATATAGAATTGAATTATATGAAATCTTGTACTGGTGTATTACACTGACTGCAGTTATGAAATATGTGAAAAAAATATCCATGACTGTCTATTGCTGTTTATGTACCCATTACGAACGGTTCTAATATAAATATAGAATTTATTAGACACAATATTCCAAGGTACCTCTCACCATTTATGACACCATCGTATATTACTTTAAATAAAAATTGGCATTTACTAACAAATACGAGTGAAAAACGTGAGAAAAAAAAACAATTTTTTAATGATAATACTCTTCATTGTAACGAGAAGAAGAATCATGTCAATGGATACAGTGAGACAGAGCAAATCTTGTCCCGAATGCTGTTTGATTTATTTTATTGTAAAACAGTACAAGGCTGAACTGCAACAACATTTAGTGAATATGGCAATAATTCATTAATGTTAACAACATTGTCATTCTTTTATTGATATAAAAAATTGACCCGGTATTGTTCATATACATATGACACTAAAACAGATGTTTGAAGCAAGAAAACAATCATACACGAAAAGGTGTCATCTCAACAAAACCGTCGTCAACATAGTTTCTCTAACTGATAAAAACCATTAAATTCTTAAATAAAACTGTCGAGCATATATTTCTTACTTTTTAGCCTGATGACTTCAGAAACGATCTATATACTCCGATAGATCGTAGCTATAGACTATTGACAGTATCTAGAACATTATTTCCATTTTTTATGTTTCTTTTTCTCATTTACATATTACATTCGATAGATAAAACAAGAGCGTAGCCGGTATCTCATTTTCGTGCAAAATCTGTAGTTCACCATATTTTTACAGTCGAAAGCCCATCTCAATCGCACCTTTTTACCATGAAAGAGAAGTTATCTATTGAAAAGAGAAAAAATTGCACGAAATATGCGGTTAATTATTTGTCATTATCCCGCTGTGTGGCTAACAAGAGTCCTATATGTTAGAATGTGATTATATCAGCGAACAAACTCAGTCAGTCATAGTCATTCAAGAAAAGCGCAGAAAACTATGTTTACGAAAAATTTTACGGGTTTAGCGAGTTTCGAATAATAACGCGCAAGAAGCTGCGAGTGTGTAACCGCAGGAGCACGCGTGTAAAGCCTTAGTTTCCATGGCAACGTGCATTTCCTGCGGTTTATTTTTACACACTTGCAGTGTCTTGCGCGTTATTATTCGAAACTCGCGAAACGCGTAAAATTTTTCGTAAACAGAGTTTCCTGCGCTTTTCTGGGATGACTGTGACTAATTGAGAACAGAAAACTACCCTTTACTTCAGTGTTTCTATGAATTTCATACGTCTAACGAATGAATTAACGACTTATTTCCACAAACAAAATAATTTAACCCTTACGTTTCTCGAAATAACATGAATAAGAGATTTTCATGACCGTTACTGTTAACGGGTAACAGATTTTTGTTTTTCAGAATATATTATTAGCTATTACATAGAAGAAGAAAAAACTACTTATAAAATTTCTAATTTTCTCTTATTCTCTCTTAGATAATAAATAAATAGAATGGAAAAATCATGTATTACTTTTTCATTGAACACTGTGCAAAAATTTGCGAATACACCTGAAATATTTTTCATATAGTCGGACACAGTAGAATCTCGTGCATCGAATGGTAAAAGAATTTTTAAGTTTGATCCAGAAATGACAAAGTTATGACCGGGAGTTTGAATGTAAATCGAGCCGTTCTTATACAATTCTTAAATAGAACACCCTATATAAATACACGTGAAAAACGTAAGAATTTAAAATAATGTTATTTTTACTACTCAAACTTCAATATTTACAAAACATCTTGCTAGGAAAAATGTTCTACTTGTTGAGCTCTATCTAGCTGTAGTGGATAAAAGCTAACTTACACTTCGTTAAAGAGCTGTTAACTACGCAAGATGATCTGAATTCGTTCTATATAAGTGCACTTGACTTTAACAGAACAACCACGGCTTTTTTTTTTCTTTATTAGAACGTTCCCAGACAAACACTTGCCAACAAGTGCCAACAATGCGAAAATCGAGTCGATTTTATTTTAGTTTATATATCGTTGGATAGAGTTTGATGAGCTGATCACGAATATGTGATTTTTAATTTTTTGAATAATTTTTTAAGTGGGAAAAATTGAAAAAAATGGCTCACTTCAGAAAAAAGATCGAATTTTTTCCATTTTTCTTGTGCAAACTTTTTCAAAATGATTTTTTTTTCTAATTCGCCGTCGAAATCTGAGTATGAGAGTGGTATTTGATTGATTTTCAAGTTAAAGGTCTGTCCACTACGGCTGTGTCGAACACTCCGACTGACGTATGCTAGTATATAACTTTGTAAACCTATCTAGGGTTTTATTGTGTGAAGAGGTAAAGCTAAGTATCTTACCTCATTAGAATCGTTAAAACACGAGCTTTAACAGTATCCATTTAGTCTTTAAAATTTTGTTTCGTTGTTAAGAAAATGGACTTTTCCTGTTTCAGTGATAGAATTCTACAAAAATTTGCTCGTATTCAGTAATTTTAATCATCAAACTTTTATCAGAAAGCAAAATAAATGTCATATTCTGAATCAGCATATAAACCTGAGCTAAATAACATATTTTTTAGCCAAAAGTAGATTTCATCAAAAATACACCTGTAGTCCAGTAGTTCTTAGTCGCTCTTTTGAAATATTTCTCCTCTTGTACATCTGAGGTGTGTTAAAAATTAAAAATCACATAGTCATCAAACTCTATCCAACGACATCAATCGATTTTTGCGTTATTAGCACCTTAGAAAAACAGTAGGTATTCAATATTTCATACTTTTAGCATACATACCCGGGGCCAGTTTCTTAAAAAACCTTGAAAAGCGAAAAAATTCGTCAATTTTTAGCTCGTTAGTGTGTTTCTCAAACATTACTTAAGGCAGCTCTCGATTTCACTTAAGTTTTCACTTAAACTTTTAAGTAGAAAATTGTTTAAATTTTGTAACTTCTCTATTTGAAGTCAGTAACCCGTCCAACCGACCATAATTAGACTGAGATTTTGTTCAGAAAATTGCTGTAAAATAATTTAAGTTGTTTAAAATATGAATGGTTTTTACTGCATGACCTCTGCCTGACTTAAATTTTTTTAAGAAACTGGCCCCTGGACTGCAAAATTGCATTTGACTTCTGAGATAGAATATACACAAAACTATCAGGACTACAACATATATGCAGAATAGACCTTACATCCACACTTTTGTTACAAAAGATTTCATTCGACTAATGATCATTTTCTTGTAAGCATATTTATATCGTTTTGAGCCTCTTAGGAGCTCTGCATACTTTCAAGCAGTCTCTTCAAAATACACGTTTTCGACCGAACTTTGGACAGCAATTTTTTTCGATGAACTCGAAAGATCATCTTGTATGCTCATTAACGAAATGTAAGTTAGCTTTCGTCCGCGTCAGTTAGATAGAGCTCAACGAGTAGAACGTTTTTGCTAACAAAATGTTTTCTTAATATTGAACTTTTAATAGTAAAAAATAACATTATTTAAAATTCTTACGTTTTTTACATGTATTTATAAGAGGACGTTCTATTTAAGAATTGTCTACATAATAAGAACGGCTCGATTCACGTTCACACTTCATCATTTCTGAAACAAACCTAAAAATTCTTTTATCATTCGATGCGCGAAATTCTGCTCTATCCAACCGTATGAGAAAAAAAAAATTTAAAAGTGTACTGGCAAATTTTTTTCACAATAATTGATCAAAAGTAATGTGATATGATGTTTCCTTTTCTATTTAGACACACTCACTCTATATTTTACTATAAACGTTTTGATCTTCTCGAATCTTCACTAGTCAACTTCGTACACATAAAAGCGAAAAAAAAAACGACAATCATGGATTTCACATGTAAATCTATTTAAAACAAAAAGACACTTGTTACACAAGCAGACGAATGTTTATAAATAGAGAAAAATTTATGAAAAAAATATATTTTTTTTCAAAACTTTTGTATTTTATATTGTTAACTATTGACGAAAATTTAAAGAAAAATCCTATCGAATTATCCTTTCACTAGGAATTTCACAAAACAAAACAAAAAAAAATGTTTGCATAGTGACTATTTTTATAGACAGAAACGTCTCTCTGTTATTCAGTTCAAATTTCTTTTCTTTCTCGAAAAAAAAAGTTAGATACGCGTTGAATAAATAGACTATATAGAAATGAGAGTGCACATTTTATTTTCTCTTAACGAACATAAAGGACGTCAGAACAGATTATTCTATCTGGAGAAAAGTACATAGAAAAATGTATATATGATTCAGAATAATATTATAGTGTGCGTGTAATGTGTCTTTTCACATTGTAAGATAAATTTTCATTTTCTCTTTTAGTCAGAAGTCATTTTTTTTTGTGAGAAGAGAGCAGAAAGGACTGAAGAAAATAAAACTAAAATTATATAATATGTAGTAGTATAGTAGTCCATATTCTTCTCAACTTACATACTATTATTATAGCTTAAAATTTAGACTACTTGTAATTTGTTTGAATCTTTATAGATAAATATGGCTGATTCAGGAACTGTTAAATGGTACAATGCTACAAAACGTTTTGGTTTTATAACATCGGATAAAGGTGGTGAAGATCTTTTTGTACATACAGATGAAATAAAGACAAATGATCGTACGTTAATGGAAGGACAACGTGTTACATTTAATATTACACAAGGTCGAAAAGGTCAACAAGCATCGAATGTAACTGTAGTTGGCTAACATTATTGTATTATGAGGAAAAATAAAAAAGAAATAACAACAGCAAAATTAAAACAATTTATTATTATTATCATCATCATTTGAATACTATTGACAGTATCTAGAACATTATTTCCATTTTCTTTTTTTTTTTTGTTTCTTTTTCTCATTTACATATTACATACTGTCACATATTTTATGCTTGTTGTTTCATCTTCGAAATAAAAGAAGAAATATATAATTGAAAATGTGTATTATTTAGAAGTTTCACTTGTGATGTCATCAATATGTCGATGTGACATAGTAAAGAATCCTATGATTGTTCTATATAATTATAGAAAGGATATCTTTAGTGCTCATTCTTTTGTTAGAACAACATAATCCGTATCGTAGCCTTGACGAACCCTTGAGAATATTTTACTTGAAAACTATTTTTTTTTACACAGCAAACATTTTTCTGACTGACTATAAAAATTAGTTCACTTTGATATGGGAAGTTTTCTGTAGTCATAATCTTTGATTTACAACCATTTTTTTGGTACAAATGTAAGTTTTTTTTTTAAGGTACTATTTTTATGAAATGCCTAGATCTTACGAAACTGTGACTCAATAAAACAATCGGACGCCATGCCAAGTGAGACGAGGATGAGATGAGAATCACTAAAGGTGAACAGTTAAAATGAATGTAAACGTCTTATTACATGCTTTTTGTCTTCTCACGTTATACAGCATTCTAATCTACTAAAATAACGAATGATAATGATCATTAAAACTGTTAAGTCTGTTAGAAAGAATTTATTATGAGAATTCTTGAAAAACTCAGTTTCATTTGTTGTAAATGATATAAAAAAACACTGTTAAATAAGCAATTCTTCCTTTTCAAGATTAGAAGAAGAAGAAGAAAAAAAAAAGAGACTGATATTAATAATCATGCAGATCGTATTAAAACATTAGAAATAGAGTTATCTCAATAAACATCTTAGAAATGAACATAAACGAACGAAAAAGTGAAGTTCTACTATTATTCATGTAATGGATGGGCCACTCTTATTTTCTTTTCTTTCGAGCATAACTGAGATTCGAATATTTCATTCTAAAGTCATTCGATAGAGAATTTTCTGCTCTACAATATCCATTACCTTTTTTCATTATTTTAAAAAATAGTGAAGAGTAGAGACAGGTAAAAGGTGTAAGTGTGATTTCTTATGAAAATTTTGGTCGCTTTTCGTTTTTGTGTAACTTTTCGAGAAATGATGTGGTAAAAATGTTCAGCGGATTGAGCATTATCATCTAGACTATCCTGCTTATTCGTCTGGTCACTCAAATTGTGAAACTTCCAATAGACAAGTTAATCTGTACTTTCGGGTAACGTGGGATTTTCAAAAAAAAGCAGGAAAAGGAGTAGCCAAAGAAAGCCGTGAAAGTGTCCATTATAGGATTTTGTAGAGTAGAAAATTTTCTACCTTCTGATGTCAGAATGAAGTCTTGGAACTATACAAAATATAGATAAAAATAGATACATGAATAACTCCATCATTTCAGGATCATCCGTTCTTAGTGGCAAAATTTTATTTCTCAATGAGGATTAATTAAATGAAGACAAAAGTCTTTATGCAAAGTACCTGTGATGAATAGTTAACAGAAGTGTTATTAGATAATCAATTGGGTAAAGTACAAAAATAATTATAATCTGTACGTCGCAGTTATTCTTCTTACCTGTCCCTACTCTGCACTATTTTTTAAAATAACGAAATAATATGTAATGAAAGAAGGTAATAGATTTTGTAGAGCAGAAAATTCTCTATCGATATGAAAAATAGAATCACTGAAACAAATGAAATTGTAGTCAACATTGTGTTATTAGTTTGGCTAATGATATATGCACATTGATTTTAATAAATACAACATTTTTTGTTTGTAATTGTACTGGAAGTTCATGTCAGATAGTTGTGAGATTTTGTTCAATATATGCTTGTGCTGTATATTTATCGGGATACTGATAGCTTTGAGATGATATATTTTTTTTAGAATCAGAAGACTTTATGACACAAAACTTGAAATCAATTGAATCTGAAAAAACATTAATCATAAAAATGTAGTTGTAAGTAATGGGAAAATTTATAAAGGAACACCGTATGGTCAACAAAACACATTTACAGTACAATCAATTTTATATTTAGAATCATTTCTAAATTTTAAAGCATCATGTGGTCAATCATCATAACATGATTCATCACTAATGTAAAACTTTCCACGTTTCTAAACATATCTGTTTTTCTTGTGTATAACGTTGTTGTTTAGATGATTCGTCCAACTCATACATATCGAAATATTTGCATACGTGTACTAAGTATACGTACGAAACCGAAGAAGAAGAAAAAAAACTATTTATTACATACTAAAGAATGATTTCAAGGGTATTAATTCAGTGTTAAACAGGGTAAACAAAAAATAGACAGTGATGTGGTAAAAGTCTCTGCACTGACTGGTCGACTTAAAAAATATCATCGTATGAACGGTCTCGATAAGGATGCTTATGCTTTGTACACATGTGTTTACCACTCAGAAGCATAAAAACATTTTTCTATTACTACAGGTATCTCATAGCAAAAGAGAACGTCAAAATATTTTTCATTTCAAAAGAAAAACAAACAATAGTAAACAAAAATAACGAAATAGATCAACGTAAACATTCTTCTTCGTTTCTTTTTCATTTTAACTTTCTCCTTATTGACCTGTCATGTGCCAGTAAACGGCTTATTCACGTAACTCGAGACTTCGCTGATCAAGTTTTTGAAAAAAATTATTTTAGAATAGAACTGATAGGAGCATATCACTAGATGCAGTTTTTGACGAATCTCACATTAGTTTTTGAAAAACGTTCAATTTTGGTACTAAAAATTCAGTTTTACATTTTTTGAAAACTGTATTTTCAATTTCCTCACCTAGACACTTTTCCTAATAAAAATGAAAGACCATACTAATCGATAGAGAATTCGATTCTCTACAAGATGATATGTTTCTTTTGAAGTTTAGACTCAGAACAAGCTTTTTAAAGTTTTAAGTTTTAAGATTTTCACACAATTCTAGAAAGTGAAAACATTTTTTCAGCTTTATTTTCACTTTAGTTTATATTAGATGTCTAAAGCTAAGTCTGATGTGAAAATGAAACCCTTTGAGCAATGTTTAGTGCTCCAAACTTTGTTGGAAAAAACGAGTGTCACAGCATCAGGGCGATAAAACACAATTATTGAGGGATGGAAAGCTCTTTGGAAAGATTCTTTTTTAACAATCAGTAGCTCGTTTACTCCCCTATAAATTTTGCTCCAGACACTTTTTATTAGCTCTCTAAATTCGCAGCAAATTAGCTTTTAACGAGAAGCACTTCGAATTTAGGGCCTTTTTTTTGTCACAGCGTCAAACGCCGAAAAACGCTTCTAAAAGTTTGAGTCCTTAACCGCATACCTTCATTTTTATATAAAAAGTAGAGTATGGCGAGCTGCGTCGACGGT